CTACTACTACCACTACCACTCCTACTCCTACTCCTACTCCTACCACTGCTACTGCTACTGCTACTGCTGCTGCTGCTGCTACTACTGCTGCTGCTACTGCTACTGCTACAGCTACTGCCACTGCAACTACTGCTGCTGCTACTGCTACTGCTACTGCTAGTACTGCTGCTACTACTGCTACAACTGCGACTACTGCTGCTAGTACTGCTGCTACTACCACTACTACTACCACCACCACCACCACCACCACCACCACCACTACTGCTACTACTAGTACTACTACTGCTGCTACTACTACTGCTGCTGCTGCTGCTACTACTACCACCGCTACTACCAGTAGCCACCCCGCCCACCAACCGCCTGGCGCACGAACCCATCATCATCAACATCATCATCGTTGGTATGGGACTATAACATCACGAGAGTCTTGTAGTACAGAGTAGACTGGATGTGCTCTTCAAAAATACGCCACCATGTCCTCCACCCCGAACCCCCACCCCTCAACAGCGCGGTGGTTGGTATTGGACTACGACATCACGAAAGTACTGTAAATATTGAGTAACATGGTTGTCCGCTTAAACAGTGTTTAGGCGAGGTGGTTGGTAAACGGGGGGGTGCCTACTACTACTACTACTACCTACTACTACTACTACTACTACTACTACTACTACTACTCCTGCTGCTACTGCTACTGCTACTAATACGCTACGTATACTGATGCTACTACCACCACTACTACACTACAGCAACAACAATTACTACTACTACTACTACTACTACTACTACTACTCATACTACTACTACTACTACTACTACTACTACTACTACTACTCCTACGATACGACTGCTGCTACTACTACTACTACTACTACTACTACGACTACTACAACGACGACGATGACTACCACTACTACTACTACTACTACTCCTCCTGCTGCTGCTGCTGCTGCTACTACTACTACTACTACTACTACCATCACTACTCCTCCTCCTCCTCCTCCTGCTGCTGCTGCTGCTGCTGCTGCTGCTCTCCAGCATTGATCTTGGTCGTAAGTTTTGGCAAGAGTTTCGTCCTCGAACGTCTATTCTATATTCCTGCTAGTAGCCGATGATATCCTCAGAATCCTCGGCCCACAACGGCAGACACTTTGCAAACTCGGCTAGAGAGTTCCGGTGGCTCGAAGACGTCCAGCAGCACTGCTAGGCCCTAGGCTCCACCGCATTTTTACCGGGAGTTCCGGAAAGCGGGTCTATGTTGCAGCCGGCATGACTGGAAATGCCTTTTCTTGATAATGACTGATAGTGTTTTTGTATACAGCCAATACAAGACTAAGATAGAATAAGTATACCCGATCCGCAGCAACCTGGCTCTACTTACTGTGGGTTTTACCCCGCAGTGTCGGCTGTGGGTCGGGATCCTGAAAACTATGCGCCATGAGCCCTTCATGTTACATCTGAAAGACCCTGACAACGAATCGGGTGGCTAGTCGAGGGCTGGCTTAAAAACTACCTGGACCCCAAAGAACCTACCTTTTCAGGGTTCCTTATTACGATTTCTTTATATAAGCCCCTGAAAAAGGTAAAACTTGAACCCAAACCTTCAGACTGAGGCAGGTGAGCCCTAAACCGTAAACCTTGCTCCCTACTCCCAAATCCCGACCCCTACGCGCTAAACCCTATAAGCCCTAAACCCCTGAACCCTAGACCTGGTACCCAGAGAGCCCAAGAATTAAGGAATATACCTTAAACCATAATATCAAGGTCCCTATAATTTAAGGTATATTCCTTAATTAACCTTAATATTAAGGTCCCTATAGACCCTAAACCCCAGACTCGAATCCGACTCCTCAGACCTTCGACTTCTGTTTGGGCGAAGCCAGGCCTGTTTTTCACCACACCGCGGTGCACCGAAAGGCGTGCTTCTCAGGCTCTACGGGGTTCTCTAGGGTCTTCAAAGGGTTCTTGGGGTTGAGGGTTTCGGGTTTCAGGGGTTTCGTCCTTAGGCTGTAATTTTTTTAAGATCAGTACTGTGCTGCAGCGACTGCGACGGCTGCTGTGTTTCCCAGTGCTACTCCCGCTGCAGCCGTACTCAAACCACCACGAGAACGACGGCTACCGGCATGACCAGCAGCAATGCCACTGCCACCGCCAGCAGCAGCCGCCACCACCACTCGCATCCCCAGAGCTGCTACCACGACCGCCTCCGCTGTGGCGACAGCGACGACGACCCAAGTCTTGTTCGAGATGCTGAACAGTATTCTCTTGTAGGTTGGGCGTAGTGCAAGTAGTGCTCCCCAGATTCAGGAGACAGCACTGCTTGCATCGGGTTTTGAAGTCGTTCTCGAATGAAGAAGATGGAAACTACAACGAAGCGCGTATTGCCCCGTAAACACGTTAAGTGAAAGGACCCGAAGCCACGGACGTTAAGCTCTAAACAGCATCCCTAAACCCTAAACCCTAAACCCTAAAACCTAAGCCCAAAACTCCTCAGCAAGCCCACACTCAGGCTCTTTTGTCCCTGGCGTCTGCCATCTTCAACCTGCAGTGGCTTGGTGACTCTATGGGAGGTTTCTTGTTAAGGAGGTTTAGGGTTTAGGGTTTAGGGTTAGGGGGAGGTTAGTTCAAGTTACCATGATAGGAATCTATAGTAACTATGTAAGATGATTCCTGATATTTCCTTTCTTTGGTAACATAAATTAAACTGCCTCACAAGAGCTTAGCAGGTTGTCGGGTCGGGCTTCCTGCCAGATCTTGGGTGCCTCAGTTCAGGATGTCATCTCGGGTCATTCGATCCTTCCCTATCTGGCGGCGTCTAGGATTTAGAGCTTTAGGTTTAGGGGGTAGGGTGTAGAAGCTGCGAGGCGCCTAGAAGAGCGTTGGATCTCTGAACCAAAAACCCTGAACCCTATACCCTAAACCCTAAACCCTACACCCTGAACCCTAAACCCTGAACCCTACACCCCTGAACCCTAAACCCTAAACCGTGGCACCCCAAAGACTCCTGCCCTGCCATGCTGTGGAAGGCCCAGTCATGGTCTTGCTCTGGTGGTCCTCATGGGCTTGGAGGAGAGTTACACCGGAGCCAGCGCCCTTGGTGCTTTGGGGCGGTTGAGGGTTTAGGGCCTTTTGGCTTCGGGTTTAGGGGCTTTGGGCGGTTTAGGGTTTAGGGTTTAGGGTTTATAAGGCTTGGGGTTGAGGGTTTAGGGTTTATGGTTTAGGTTTTCGGGTTTAGGGTTTAGGGCTGTGGGCTTTCCTGTTCTAAGTAATATCGTTGCTATCAGCGTGGGAAGAATAAGAAATCCAATTTTTTTGGGGGGGTCCTTCTACCAGCTACAGAGTCATGTACCTCAAGGCCCTACTCTTTTTATCGAGTGGGTTCTCGTCACTATAGGCCTGGTTCACAACACTTGGGACATGGGCTGCACGGTTCAGACTGTTATTTAGGGTTTAGGGTTTAGGGTTTATTTTTGAAAGAATCCAAGGATAGGGTGTGCAGGCTTGGACTAGGATGACACACGAAGTTCCAATCCTTGCCCTGAACCCGGATTGAGGCAGCGCCACCATGAGCACAACCCACAGACACAGGTTCCGCTAAACCCTAAACCCCAAACCGACGAAGTAGAAAGAAGTCTGAGTCCCGAACCGAATCGCGGGTTAATTTGAGTTGTGTTTGTGCATGGGAGGGCTTAGGGGTTTCAGGATACTGCCTAGTTAGTATATACTACTTTTTCGAGGGGTTCTGCGCTCTACTTAAGGTTGCTACCTTAAAACCCTAAACACCTTAGGCCCTAAAGCCTACACATCCTAAACTCCAAACCCCAGACCCTAAACCCGAAACCCTAGATCCGGGATCCGACTCAGGCCATGAAGGTGCTGCTGAAGCACGGTGCAGTCAGCCGACCTCTCGGCTCTTCCAAGTCGCGGTCATACGCAAAGGGGGGGCTTCGAAGGAAGGCTTCTAATGGGGGCCTCGGGGCTCAGGGCCTAGGGTTTAGTATTTAGGGTTTAGGGGGTTTACGGGGTGTTTAGGGGGTTTAGGGTTCAGGGTTTGGGGTTTAGGGGGTTTAGGGGGTTTACGGGGTGTTTACGGGGTTTACGGGGTTTAGGGTTTAGGGGTTTAGGGTTAAAGGCTGCTAGTAACGTACATTGAGTTCCTAAACCGGAATCCAGAGTCCTAAGCCCTCAGCACCTCTCAACCCCAATGCCGACTCCCCCAGACCTCAACTACAGGCTCTCCCCATAAGGCCTCCTTAGCCCTAAACCCCTGCAAACCCTAAACCCTAAGCCTTAAACCTCCTAAACCAATGCAAACCCTAAACCCTAAGTCTTAAATCTCCTAAACCCCTGCAAGCCCTAAACACTGAACCCTAAACCCTAGGCCTTAGACCTCCTAAACCCTGGACACTGGCAAACCCACAACCTCGTAACCTCTAAACCAGGACTCCGGCTCGTCTCCCCTAATCTCTGGCACCGTAGAACTCAAACCTCCTGAACCCTGAAATCTTATACACTAAACCCTAACCCTAAGCCCTAAACCCTAAACCTCAAATCTCTTGAACCCTGAAATCCTAAACTCTCAACCCCAAGCCTCAAACCTCCTAAACCCTGACCCCTGAACTCTGGCACCCTAAACCTAACACCCCGCCCTTCAACACCGCTGAGGCCGACAGCTGGCTGGAAGCTTTTTGGGCGAGCCGCTTTCGGCCGGGGGCCCTTGGCCTGTTGTCCGACTTCGGGGCGAATGTTCACGTGTTTATGTGGCTATGTCTGTCTTCATCCACCTCTAACTGCCTATATCTATCTGTACCGATCTCTATTTACATGTATCAATATCTGTCTGTAGCTTGTTATCGAGCTATTCAAAGATCAGTATACCGATGTGTATATGTCTATGTACCTGTATGTCAGTATGTCTATAGATTTGCACACCATGTGTCTGTATACCTATGTACGTATATGTCTACATATCTAGATATGTGTATACCTTTATAATATATGTATGAGCGTATGTACCGACCAGTAAATCTGTATCTGTATATTACCTATATATCCACATATTCATATATCTATATCTCTTTCTATCTCGATATCATATTCTGCATACCTATTACTATGTATATCTGCAGATCTGCATCTCTTTGTCTATATAGTCTATGTGTATATATATATATGTATATCTGAAGTCTATATATGAACCTATCATCTTGGTACCAAGACGTCTGCATACTAGGTATTATACACATGTCTATCTGTCCGTCTGTCTGGCTGAAATTCTGTTTGTCTGTCTGCCTGCCTGCCTGCCGGTCTGCCCATAGGGGTTTAATCAATAGTTTGGTTTGCTTGAGGGTTCAGGGTTTTGCATGAGGGTTTAGGGTTTTGCTTGAGGGTTCGGGATTTAGGTTCTACAGGGCATCGGGTTGACCGAACGTCAAACTTTTGTATTTGCAGAATGCGCGGCAGTATTTGCTAGTAGGCCCCTAAGTTATAAGTCGAGTATGTTTTAGGAAGGCTGTCCCCAGCCAGGGTTCAAGACGTGCTGGGATTGGCCCCTGTGTCAGTAACTATCACTACAGAGAGGTCATGCTCAACAGTCGCACGGATATCTCTGGCACCACCCGTCAAAGCCCAGAACCTGACAAAAACGCAGCTCCTCCTCCTTTCACTGAGTCCACTGTTGTAGTCGAATCCTCCCAAGACTCTACTAGATCAACTTCTGCCCGACTCTCTGCAGGTTTGCCCGCTGATTCGTTTTAGCTATTTTGCCTGCCCCCCAGCCGCCGCTGCAAGCCAGAGACCGGTGTAGTGTCCGTGGCACCGGCTGTCTGCTGCTTGCTTTTCGCTTGAATGGCTTCCTGTTTGCCTGCGAGGGGGCCAGATTCGGGGTTTGAATCCCCGAAACCCATAAAAAGCAACAGGACGGACTACCGCTGCTGAACACCGGCGTGGTGTCCTGCTTGAGGACAGACCGCCCGGTTTGGGATACAGAGATTGGGAATCGTTCAATTCTGGCTTCCTGTCACTGGGACACTCAGGCCCTTGGCAATCGGTAGCAGTATAGTCGTGCCCACAAGACCTACGAACCCGGAGAGAATATAGGAGTTGAGAACGAAGTCACTGAGCAGCCCGACGTGTTTTCATTTCGCTCCGAAAACAAATTGAACAGTTCTTTGTGCATTGGGGTTTTCGAACGCAGTGTCCGAGAGTTTGGAGGGGTTTTCCGAAGCACTCCAAGCATCGTGCCTTTGCAGAATACGGCGGGTCTTCGGTGTGTTGGGTTTTCGCAGTGTCAGATTTCGTCGTAGCTGCCGGCGGCCAGTGCCAGCAGGGTGTAAAGAGTTGCGTGTAGAAGCCTGAACCCCTAAACCCTAAGCCCTTTTTCAGATATGACTGGGTTCCCTACAAACAACGTGCGCTGTTGAGCCATGATTGGTCACGATGCCTGCTTGGCTCTTCCACTAAGTCAGAAAAGTCAATTCTCATAGTTCATAGTTGCTTTTGTCGTATGGCTCAGCTTTTGCTGTGTATTACAAGTATACTGATACTAGTGCATCTACGGCTACAGTAGTACCTTTACGAATGTCGTTGCTTCTTGCTACTGACGCATTAGCAACAACTAGCTACTAATGACGAATTGCATTCATTTTCATTGTCATCATTACTATATTACCATTATTACCACACCTCCTTCTCCTCGTCCTCCCCCTCCTCAGGCTGCTTCCGCTGCGGCTGCTGCTCCTACTCCTCCTCCTCCTCCTCCAAGTACTGCTACCACTACCACCAGAGGTGTGGTGATGTTGCTGATGGTCGTTACGATGAGTAGACGATGGTGATGACGACGAAGTTGAAAGTACTGCTGATCCTGCGGGGCTCGTGACGAACGACGGTGCAAGACGGACCTCTTCGGACCTCTCTGGCGACGAAAGCAGAGAACAAGTTGCTTGTGTTTGCTCGTTTGGTGGGTGTGATTGTGGTGGTGTTGTTTTCTCTTTTGTCGTGATTGGTTGTTGCCGGGGTGTGGTGGTTCTTGTTGCCGTTGCTACTGCCGCCACCGAGCCCAGATGAACCCAAAGCCCTGCTAAAAACTCACATTTTACCAGAAGTCTTGCCCTGTGCGAAGGCCGGCACTCAAACTTGAATCTTTTGGTTTTGTTGGTGCTTTTCCTTTTGGTTTTGTCGATAAACTCCAAACCCTATAAACCTGCAACACCCTAAACCCCGAAAAACCCTAAACCCTAAACTTCTAGACGCTAAACCGGTCCAGGGACGACCCACCGCTCGAATCTCTAGAGCCCGAACGTTTCCAGTTGGGGAAGCTCCTTGCAGGACCGTCTTTTCTTCACTCGGCATTCCGCAGGCACAGCGGGAAGGAGGTCTCATAGGAGCATACATGAAAAGTAGCCCTCGCGCAAATACCCTAATGTGGCGAGCTAGCTTGGCACGCACTCTTCGCTGTCAGTCAAGCTTTTAAGGTATTCCATGGCCCTAGACCCTGAACCCACCTCTTAATACTAATAGTCATAGTAATGGTAGTAACATTAATAATCATGCTGTCGTCACGACTAGCATGGTCGTTGTTGTAGCTACGTTGCACTGGTTGCTACTGGCACGATCGGTGTTGGTGCTGCCATGTCTTTGCGAGGAGCCATTTAAACCCGAACTACACCTGAAATCCTAAACCCAAAACCCTCAAAGCGTAACTGATGCTTTTTCGTCGTCACCGTGGCATCAATCTGGCTGACAAGGCCGTTCTCGGCGCCTCACGCCATCCTTAACCCTCACCCTGAGCCTGTCCTCAACCCTACGCCCTGTGCCCTGCAACCCAGCCCCGAAACAATGAAGCCTGAAGCCTAGAGCTCAAACCCTAAACCCTAAATCTTGAACCCTTCTAAAGCCTAAACCCTATAAACCCTGAATCCTACCTACAGCCTAAATCCTACAAACCCTAAACCCTAAATCTTAAACCCTAAATCCCAAGACCATTTAAGTCCGACCCCCAACCCTTGGCACGGAAACCCTCAGCGCCAGGAGCCCTAAACCTCACGCCCCCTTCCACCCTGAAACCATGCAGCTCGTAAGGTTGATGATTTATTAGGGTTCAGGGTTTAGGGTT